ATACTCAAAAACCAACCCGTTTCACCCAAATTGATATTAAATTTTTGCACCAGATTCTCCCTTTCCCTTTGATATTTGACACATTCTGCTAGCAAAGCTGTTAGACATCTTCTATAATATGATAAATATCGCAACTAGGCGAGTTTGCTTTTTCATCAAAATACAAATTTTTTATTGGCACAGTGCCCAGAACGTAATCTATGAATCTATGAATAGCAATTATATGGTTTCTATTCATTTTAATATTATTATACCACGGTATCCGAAGAGGCTGACTTTGAATTGTTTTATACTATATTCCCTTTTCTCTGCTTCTTTCATCGAAATACTCTCTAAATTTATCATAACAAAGGTTTTTGAGTTTTGTCAAGATTTCCGTGTAAATTGGTAAAATATTTAATTCGATTCCTTGCGTTATAGCGGCTTTTGCTAATAGGTCAGCCTCTTCGTTTCCCTTTAAACCTATATGCAATGGAACCCATTGCATAGTATGGTGGTAAGGGTTATAAAAATGAAAAATACTGCTGAACTTGTTCCCCTCCCACAGCAGGACATATATAGAGATGCCATAATCACCACTGATTTTGCATCTCTATATAACAACTCAGTGCTGATACTGTTAAGCACTCAGCAGCTTTAAGAAAAGAATAAGGCATTAACCTAAAGTAGCAGAGCTGCTCTAATCGTCGACGGCCGAGTTCTTTCCGATCGGTTCGACTCACTGGCGTTGCGAAGAGATGTTGCATCTCTTTGCCTTTTCTATCGTATTTACCACAGGGAGTGCTCTGAGGAATTGTTCGAATTAATTTCAGTCGCCATATTTCATCAACGCACATCGCGACAAAACTTACGTTACCATCCACATGCTTGGCGGTCGACCATTGTGCGATTTACTAGAAGTTTTCTTCCTCGCACGAATACTTTGTCGATCGTTTACCACCGGCGATTTTTGGAACCGATACGACTTAGGAACCTACAAGAAACGAGCTTACTCCTTTTTAAAAGGCTGGCAACGCATATGCAATTCCATTGGTGTTGCAGTTGTTCATGGGCGGCGATCGACACTTTCCATCCGGTGAGCCGCATGCTCGTTTGCCCTCTCTGCTGTAATAAAAAGTAATTAGGAAAATCTATTTGAAAATATATTAAGTTTGACCACTCAATATATTCAACACAATTTAATGTAACTTCACAAAAATTAGTTTTAATAAAAAACTGATATAAATTTTGTAAACACTAGCAGCTAACAAAAGAAAGTAATACCAGTTACTCGAATGCACAGCGACAGTTATTCATTCAAGAAAAAGCGCATACGCTTCTACAACAAAGTGCTAGAAAATAAACCTGTCCTGGCAGTTACAAATTTTAATCATCTTTTAAAAGCAAGGACTGTATAAAACACCTATAATAATGTTAGTCTACATGGTTGACAACAACCCCTTTAAATGTGGTGATCGATTCTAAGCTGTTTTCTAAACGAATTTTATAATTAATTTCACAACCTAGATGTACATAGGTATGTATTTTATTGAAAAATATTAATTTATTGCATAAAAATATTCTATTTTAAAGTAACCGAAGATTATTAATGTTATGATCCCTTCATAAACTTGGATCTGGCGCAATTATAAATTTTACATTTTACTACTATGTCTGACAAGGCTAGCAAACTAAAATAAGAGAAACACATACAAGTTGCAACATGTACAACGTATAAAACATACAAGTTATCGTATGTATGAGCGTGAAGTGCGGCAATATTACGCCATGAAATTAAACCAAAACCGCAGCGGGACTTGTTACGCGGACACTCCATAGTACAGAGTAATACCGCAACACATACTCGTACAGTGTAATGAAATCATAGGAGTTGTGATTGCGCTTCCATTCGCTGCAGGATTGATATATTTTGTATAATATTTTAGTGACTACCTATAATACATTATATTGAAATACACTACATTCTCTTACGCCATCGAAATAGGGCAAAAATAATATCATTTTTATTTTATACAAACTATAAATAAAATTCGTATTTGGAATGATGATATATCCGATGAATTACAACTCTGTTGAATCTTCGTTTTGTGCCGCAGCAGAAGCTACGCCGTAGCACCGAACACTTTCGAGTCCTTGTAAATGCGTGGCTACGCATACACATATTTAAAAAAAAAACATGATTTTTAGAGATCATGCATTAGATAATCCTCCATCTCAATTCGTCCCGACTTCGTCGTTAGAGGGAACTACGAGAAGGATCGAATAGGTCTCATGACCTCCGGCAGATGACATCTGATACAGAATAAGATATGTCGTCTCTATCTGATGTCCAAAGTTCGAGTTTATAACGAAAATTTAATTTGTTTAGCATCTTCAACCTGAAACGAACAGAGCAATAGTCTCGCATCTTCAACTTTATAGGTGGTAGAGCCATGCTGCAGCTATATTAGTAGTATAGTTGTAGCACGAATGGGTCGGCTCGACCGGGGAAGGACCACGCTCTCGTACAGAACCCCAAAGTAAAATAGTAGCTTAACATTGCTATGCTTCGTATGGTTTGTGTAGAGAACCAGAGAGCCTTTTTACTGGAAAAGAGAAATATGTCTTATTCCGTGAGGACTAAGATGGAATACCATCTTAGTCCTCACGGCTGACAACGCATCTGCATTTCGATTATTTATTGAGGATAGATGTAGATGCCTATGGTTCACAGTACACACCTACCATCAGGTGGACTGTGTGCTCGTTTGTCACACTATACTCTATAAAAAATGTGAAATTTTTGTATAAAGTTATCACTTAAGCTGTTTTAAGATCTATATTATTTGAACAAGGATGACATAAATAATCAGGAGTAGATTATTTACGAAAATACAGCAACCATTACCCAGGTCCTCAGTTTTCTTGGATACATTATCATTAATTGATAACGCTAGTTACCGTTCACCTCCCGGAAGAGAACAATGCATTTCAACAGTTTATTTTATGCTACGTGACATCACTGCATGTTATAAGATTAAAAAAATTTTGCTGAAGCTTGTTAAGATTCGTATTTCCAAGTCGGCAAGGCTCATACTCTTCACTCACCAAAGGAAACAGTAGCATCAATCTGTAATTTAACACTAGTATTCTGTGACAATGTGGTCACTCCTAGGTTGAGCCGATTGAGAATGACTCTATCACGTATATATTGAATCAGCATTAAATTTACCGCCTGCTCATCGACGAAGAAAAACAACCTGAGGGAAACTGTATGGCTGAGAAAAAAAATATTTCAAACATATGTGAAGTCAGAAGTATTTCACTAAAGCCTATTAAAAGTTCACCGCTGGGCATAGGCCTCATCCACAGTTTTTAATAATTTTGTTTCAGTTTCCTTCTGTCGGTTCTTATGACATCCACCTGAAGTCGGCCAAGATTATGTGAAATTATATATTATTGCTAAGTTTTGGTTTAGTAATTCATTTTTAAAATTTCTTTTGCATTATTAACCTTATACGCAATTTTTAACCCTGTATTTTTTTACTATTTTTTTATAGGATGAGGGTAACAAGCGAGCGCACAGTCCACCTCATAGTAAGTGGATGCTGTGGCCTATAGACATCTACATTTATCTTCGACTGAGAATAAAAATGCTTGGATTTTATCGAGCATTATGTTCAGATATTGGAGGGTACTTGAGTAGGGATTGATTACACGAGACCATGTGTGCCGCTGATATATTATAACTTTGGCATATTAATGAATTTACTCGTATGTTGATGTAGGGTAATGAGGACCCAGATTTGTTTTTACGCAGATTTAACAGATTTGAATACAATTTTAACATTAATTCAAAAGCAGTCGTAAGAGTGCGGGCCGTGGAAGTTGCAAACTCGTAAGGTCGAATCCGCTATTCGATTACCTAGTTAGGAGTTCACGACAGTTTAAGTATACTAAGGGAATATCAATATTTTAATATTGTTTATTTTTAAAAATATAAATTAATACGTGGTAGAGCCACGCTGCAGCTATATTATGGCTGTCGCACGAATTGGTCGGCTTGACCAGGGTAGGACAACGCTCTCATAGAATATCAGCGTAAAATAGCTGCTTAATGCTGCTGTTTCGTTTTGTGAGTGTAGAGAACCGAATACTGGATACGGATACTGTAAACGAGGCATTCCATCTTAGTCCTCAGGGACAACGCATCTGCATTATTTATTTATTTATTTTATTTACATCATTTTGATTCTTAATTAAGGATAATGTCTATCGGCCACAGCATCCATTTCCCATCAGATTGACTGTGTGTTCGTTTGTTACCATTCTATATATAAAAAATATTGTAAAAGCAGCATTAAATAAAAGAAAATAATTTACATAATATAAAGTTTTTCTCTTCTTGTCTTATTACGTCACACACAGTCGGTCACTACTCACTATGTCACTCTTAGGAAAGTTCATCAACATCAACACCTCGTACTTGTAGCATAAATGTGTTTTAAAAGTTAATTTCCCTAATTAAGTCACACTTAAGTCCCCTAGAATAGCCCCAGTCCCTGTGTCCCGCCCAGAAGCGTCTAGTCGCTTCTGAATATTTATACGTAGTAATAATTTAAATTTTGTGTTTTAATGTTAATTTTATTCATTTTACTGTACAGAAAGATTTAATTAAAGAAGTCAATTATGAAAGAAGTCTTATTTTACGATGTTGTAGGTTTCTGTGGCTTTCATCGTTTTAACCCAGATAAGCCTGAAACTAAAATTTTCTGAAAATTTTGAAAAAAGTTACATTATTTAGTTTATTAGATCTTATGCAACATAAAAAAAATTATGAAAAAAAAATTAAGTGTAAGGCTTTCAGGGAAACAGCCGTCCTATATGTAGGACAGTAGGATAATAAGAGGAAATAAAAGACCATTTATGACAAAACAGAATGTAATTAAAAAGTGTAGTTTATTAGATAACTATTGATTATATTACCCATTGTTATATGTAATTTACTAGATTAACACTATTTATGAATGATATGTTTCAAAACACTTGACACACACTCCAACATCACATTTCTTGCAACGTGTCAAACATTTTTTGTGACATTGACGACAGCGTGTTTGCTTCGATTGAGGAATAACCAGATGATTCATTTGGTCTTTACGACTATCAGCATGTTCATGATGGGAGGGTCGGCTAGGCCCTCTTTTGGCATTTTTTCTGTTTGATTCAATCAAAGCAATTGCTACCCTTCTGCGAAAGCCAAGATGATCCAGTTTTCCATGATTTATTTTATATAACTGCCATGCATTATGTTCGGCAAGATCAATCATGTGTGTGAGCAACGGCATGTACCATTTCTTACCTCGTATACCAATTCGGTAATGTGAAATATTTTCATCAGACCGATCCACTCCTCCCATATATTTGTTATAGATGGACACCATATGTGGTTCTTCTATGACAATGTTTCTCTTTTCACTTTGTGAGAAGCGTTTGGCAGATTGTTTAGGATTTATTCCTACAGCATTAGAAGCAATACTGAATATATTATTGTCATGCCATTTAGCAATAATGAACGTGTTGTCATGTGTCGTTCTGTAATCGACAGCACCACGTTCCTTTTTTTTCAGTAACTTCGATGTAATCAGAGGACAACTAGATGTCCTGTTTTCTCGAACTGTCCCAGTGCAACGAAGGCCTTTCTTTGTTATCTCTTCCAGCAAGGGCGTCCCAGTAAAAAAATTATCAAAAACTACGTGGTAAGGAAGGTCGAAGCCACGTGAAATCAGCACATCGCAAAAAGTGAGAACAACGCTTGCACCCAGCCCCAATTCTTTATATATTGGATTGCACATAGTTGTAGCACCTTGGTATGGTTCCATCCATAAAACATACCCTAACCGTGTAGCACCAACCCAAGCTTTGAACCCGTACCTAATAGGTTTACCTTTTATGTGCTGTTTGCAGCCATGTCTACCATAGTAGGGGATCATGGCCTCATCTACACTGTAATGCTCTTCAAGAGGAGAAAACTCTAAGAACTTTTTATTTAGAAGTGTAACTAGGGGGCGTACTTTTGTGTATTTGTCTTGCAAATCCAGATTATCATTGACATGAAGGTGGCGAAAAATAAAGTCAAATCTATCCCTAGTCATAGCCGAGCTGATCAATTCATTCTTTGTATCAGGGGAGTTTTCCCAATACATTCTTCTACGGGGGAGCCATTAATAACCACTAACCAACAATATGCCGATGAAACATTTCATATCTTCAGTGGTTATGTCTCCAGGCAAATTCTTTTTGACAGCATATTTATTGCTCTCTGACACCAACAACGAAATAACATCTTCATCTAAGAAGTTTTCAAACCACTCAATTGGGCGCTTATCTTGGCAAGCGCCTTGAACATCTGGCCAATTCACGGGATTTTTTGCCAAGTCCCGTTTTCTCCATGCGTAGGTACGCCTACGTTTAGTTCGACCTGTAGAATCAGAAGGTTCTTCTTCTGTATCACTCACCATAATCTGCCCTTGAATCATTACTTCAGCCGGTTGAAGCAGAATGTTTCGTGGCAAATTATTCAAAGTTACATTATCTTCTTCACCCGAATCTTCGTCAGTGAGACAGTCAGGATCAACAGGAGGAGGTAGAATACATATCAGTCGTTCTCTATAATCTTCTTCATTATCAGAAACATTTTCTAAAGCATCTAAAATTTCATGCGCAGCTAACGGTCTGTAAAGAAAAAGTTGTATTATTGTACTAAAATCATGTATATTATCCTACTGTCCTATATATAGTACGCTAGTATTTGTAACAAGTTATACGTAATTTATTTATATTATTTTGCTAGAATATTTATTTAGTACAAAAGTTAAGGTTATCAACTAGATATTTACACAGAAAAAAACAACTCACGAGTAAAATATAACTTTTTATACATACCTGTCATTTGCCATGTCTGCAACGCACTTTTATTACACACTTATAAGGTAAAATATAAGGTAAAAACTGTTAAAATAACTGTCTTTTAATTTTTTCTAATAAAGCTGACACGTTTCTTACTGCAAATCATAAGACTAAATAATCTTAGATAAAGAGGGTATTCTGATATTTTTTTTTTATTTCTACTGTCCTAAATATAGGACAGTAGGCTTATCTGGGTTAATACGGTTTCACGGGTAACAAATTTTCGTATGTTGCGTGTATCGGGAGATTAAATGTGAATTTGGTTATTCTAATTTGATAGCGTATATAAGTGATTTGACAATATTAATTGCTCGTGCGGCCTTAGATATAGACTGTCATAGGGAAGAAGGAAGAAAGTGACGGTGGGTGACTCCGCGGGAGATTACCACATTTTGGAGCAGCCTGGAACTCGGCCGTTACTGCTCGCCTATGCTTGCCAAGGCCCCACACACTCACACATCACTGTACACTACTCGCCATCCACTATTACACACACTCACGGCCTGCCCAAGCCTTGGTGCAAAGTTAGCTTCGGAGAATGGTAAGTACTATGTGTTTCTAGCTTTCTCCCTTATTGTTTATTGTAATTAGGAAATTCCACGTGGCCATATTCTGGCCCCGTCCCTCTGCTGCCCGTCGATGGGATTACTCATGGGCCCTAATCCCGTTACCCTTGGTTGGGGCAGCTAGGGGCGTGTACATATATATATATATATATAAATTATTTTCTCAAAAGATTTACAAATAACTTACAAAGAAAATACTAATTAATTAAAAACTATAATCCGATTGGCGTAGTGAGTTAGTATTATACTCGTAATAGGTCAATAAAACTTTTTTACTGAGTGCTTAATAATATAATTATGGTCATAAATACCTATTCACTCCAGCCTTAAAGACACTGAATTATACTTGATATGATTAGTAGGTATCTAGTTTGACTAAAAATCTTAAAAATACATAGGAGTACTTTATAGAACTAGTTTATAGAAATAGTCTAGAACAGATGGATGGAATGGTAAGTGCAGCGGAAGAAGTGTGTGGAACAATAAAAAGAGGCAGTAGTAAAAGAAGAGATGCATGGTGGAATGATGAAGTGAAAGAAGCTGTAAAGAAGAAGAAGAAAGCATGGTTAGACTACTTAGCCTCTAGTAATGATAAGGATATGAGAGAGAAGATGAAAGAAAGATATAGGCTGCAGAAAGTTCACACGAAAGCACTGATTGAGGAAGTGCGTGAAAGGTGTAGAATGGAAGCGGACGAAAGGTTGTCGCACAACTTTAAGGAGAACTCCAAACTCTTCTGGAAAGAGGTTGGAAGGGCCCGAAGTGGTGCGACGGCCTTAAGAATGAACAAAGTGCTTTCGAGAACTAATAACGTCCTATCAGAAAAATCGGACGTCATGCAGCGATGGAGCGAATTTTATAGAGAAATGTATGCGTGTGATGATCTTAGTGAGGGATCCGGGGATCACGCCGTGACTGGTACGCCAGACCCGGACCTCGATGACACTGAGGTCATCAGTATGAAAGAGATTGAATGTGCTATTCGAAGTTTGAAATGCGGTAAGGCTGCGGGACTAGACAGAGTTACTGCTGAAATGGTCAAGTATGGTGGGCCTCGCGTCTGGGACAGCTTTCGTCTGCTGTGCAATTTGTGCTGGCGGACGGGGGATGTCCCGGATGATTGGCGATCCGCAGTCATTGTGCCTTTATATAAAGGTAAAGGTTCACATTTTGACTGCGGGTGCTATCGGGCGATCAGCTTGACCAGTTTAGCAAGTAAAGTTTACTCGAAGGTTTTGACACGTAGGATGCAAGAGAAATCGGAAAGATTTCTATGGGAGGCACAATGCGGATTTAGACCTGGAAGAGGATGCACGGATCAAATGTTTTCTCTCCGCATGATCACGGAAAAGCTTCTGGCTGCTAACCAGAAGATTTTCTGTGCTTTTGTGGATCTTGAGAAAGCATTTGATAAGGTTGTAAGGAAGAAAATGTGGGAACTGTTGCCGGGGTATGGTGTGGATGGTCAATTGCTAAGGGCTGTACAGTCTCTTTACTGTGACTGTAAAGCCTGTGTGCTGGTAGGGCATGACCTGTCACCCATGTTTAACGTCCAAACGGGCGTAAAGCAGGGTTGTGTCATGTCTTCCTGGCTGTTCATACTGTATCTCGACAGCTGTTTACAGAAGCTGAAAGATAGTTGTTAGGGTGTGAAATTGGGTGACATTAAAGTAAATTGTCTGCTGTATGCTGATGATGCAGTGCTTATTGCACCATCAGAGGCAGAACTGCAGGCATTAGTCACGTGTATGAAAGAGGAATGTGAAATTAAAGGTCTCCGTTTGAATTCCTTAATATTATAAATTCCTTAATATTATAATAACCCTTTTTATACAAACTTAGTTTAATAAAGTTTTTGAACTTTGAACAGGTCAAACTTTGTATATTTTCTGGAATTTTGTTGTAAAAGCGTATACATCGCCCCAAGAATGAATTACTGACTCGATGGAGTCGAGTAACTGGTACTACTAGCTTGTGTCTGTCCTAGTATTTACAGAATGAATATCACTTATTTTTGTAAAACTACTTTTATTTTTGTGTACGTACATTACATTTTCATAAATGTATTGAGAGGCCAAAGTTAATATATTAATTTCCTTAAATTTTTGTCGCAGCGACTCTTTAGGCTTTAAATCATAAATTGCTCTTATGGCCCTCTTTTGCAAAACAAATATAATTTCAGTGTCAGCTGCGTGTCCCCATAGCAAAATACCATACGACATTATGCTATGGAAGTAGCTGAAGTAAACTAGTCTAGCTGTTTCAACACTGGTTAGACTTCTAATCTTTTTTACAGCATATGCTGCAGAACTAAGTCTGCTTGCTAGTTTTGATATATGGGGGCTCCATTGAAGCTTCGCGTCTAGTGTGATTCCAAGAAAAATGGTGGTATCTACAAGACTCAGTTTCTCCCCATTTAAAATTACATTAGTATTTAATTGTTTGACATTTGGAGTCACGAATTTCATACATTTTGTTTTAGTGCCATTTAAATGCAAATTATTAACATCGAACCAATTTACTAATTTAGATATAGCATTATTTACTTCGTCATATTTTAGTAATTGTCGACTTAATTTGAAAATTAAAGAAGTGTCATAGCTGCAAATAATACTATATCATGGTTATCCCCTACTATGTAAGGTAAGTCATTAATGTATACAAGAAACAGAAAGGGGCCGAGAATTGAGCCTTGAGGCACGCCCATTTGTACCATCGATCCGGAAGAGCTCATATTGTTAATGACAACTTTTTGCGTTCTCTTACTTAAATATGATATGCTGCATATGAATGCTAATAAAACTAAGGTTCTGGTATTTGAAAGGGACGAAGAGAGAACGAAGTGTGAAATATGGGTAAATCAGGAATGTCTAGAACAGGTAAATGAAATTGTATACTTGGGGAGTGCTTTTAGCCGGGATGGAAGATGTGATTTAGATGTGGACAGGCGTGTCGCTGCCGGGAACAAAGTCAATGGTGCCCTGGCTGCGTTAGTCAAAAGGCAAGGCGTAGCGAAGAGTGCACGCCTTGCAATACATAACGCAGTGTTGGTACCGACTTTGTTATATGGCAGCAAAACCTGGGTATGCCAGAAGAAGCATAAAAATAATCTCTTCGTAAAATGTGCGGCGTTACCATGGCCGACCGAAAGCGAAACGAAGAGATTCGCAATATGGCAGGTTTGAAAGATGACCTTATCACAAAAATTGATAAGGGCGTGCTTCGGTGGTTTGGGCACGTTGAGCGAATGAGTGAAGACCGAATGGTGAAGAAAATATATAGCGCGAAAGTTAATATTAAAAGGTGTCGAGGTAGACCGAGACTAACTTTCGAAGACCATGTGAGCAAATTGCTCGAAGAGGGTAGGGTCAAAAGTACTCGGATACTTAGACGTGCATGCATGAAGAAGATAATGAATCTGAAAGAAGCGAAAGAGGTATGTAAGGATCGTGACACTTGGCGATCTGTTCTCTCTGGCTACCCCGTCAGGGATTGTGCGTGAAGATAAGTAAGTAAGTAAGTCTAGAACAGGTAAATGAAATTGTATACTTGGGGAGTGTAAAAGCCGGGATGGAAGATGTGATTTAGATGTGGACAGGCGTGTCGCTGCCGGGAACAAAGTCAATGGTGCCCTGACTGCGTTAGTCAAAAGGCAAGGCGTAGCGAAGAGTGCACGCCTTGCAATACATAACGCAGTGTTGGTACCGACTTTGTTATATGGCAGCGAAACCTGGGTATGCCAGAAGAAGCATAAAAGTAAGTTGAATGCAGTGGAGATGCGATCTCTTCGTAAAATGTGCGGCGTTACCATGGCCGACCGAAAGCGAAACGAAGAGATTCGCAATATGGCAGGTTTGAAAGATGATCTTATCACAAAAATTGATAAGGGCGTGCTTCGGTGGTTTGGGCACGTTGAGCGAATGAGTGAAGACCGAATGGTGAAGAAAATATATAGCGCGAAAGTTAATATTTAAAGGTGTCGAGGTAGACCGAGACTAACATTCGAAGACCATGTGAGCAAATTGCTCGAAGAGGGTAGGGTCAAAAGTACTCGGATACTTAGACGTGCATGCATGAAGAAGATAATGAATCTGAAAGAAGCGAAAGAGGTATGTAAGGATCGTGACACTTGGCGATCTGTTCTCTCTGGCTACCCCGTCAGGGATTGTGCGTGAAGATAAGTAAAGTAAAGTAAAGTACTTTATAGAACAGATGGAGCTCAGAGGTACGTACCTCAATTTAAATACACTAGTAACCAAAGTTCGATCCGAGACGCCGCACCACTGAAATAGTGCCGTGGCAAAAAATAATACTAGGATGTCACGTGTAGTACACTAGATAGAGTGACGACCTGATAAGACACACAGGAAGTCGATGGATTCAGGCGGCTCAAGATCGTGCTTTGTGGCATTCCTTGGGCGAGG